CGCACGTTGAAGAGTAAGGGACGCCGACAGCTGGTTAACGGAAAAACATATTAACCACATTTCAACGGATTTTAACAGTCATGGAAGTGAAACATATATCATTCATACTTATCACCCTCAATGGGACGAGACACTTATCTCATCACTTTATCAGCACCGTTTTCGATAACATCCCAAAACGAATCACTCATTTTCGAAATAAATTTCGAGAGATTGATATTTCGAAATTTATTTCGAAATATTTATTTCCTTATAAAAAACAAAACATTTTTTTCCCAAAAAACTCAAAAAATGCTCTTGTCAATGCAAACTATAAATAGTTACATTTCAAAATTATCAAGGGGAAAAGGGGTTAATTATAGCCCAGGAAAATTAGTTGGGATGTCATGTTGCAGTGATATTATATGAATTTGCTTTTCATATTTCCGAAAGGGTGGCTCACCTGCATATCTATCAAGTTAGAATTTATTCCATCCTGAAATTTCGTTTTCTAAGTTTTTGCTGTAGAAGTTCAGTTTGAAAATGATACACTTTTTAACATTTTTTTTGGAAATTTCGAACCGCTTGGTATTTATCTGAATAATCCAATATTTAAAAAAAGTTACTTTCAGTGAGAAATTATATTTTCAATAAAATAGGGTTTTTCTTAAAAAATCAAGGAATAATTTTTTTCGAGTTTTTATCCACCCTGTATTAGAGAAAAAGGTAAAATTGGAACCTCTGGCGCAGAACAAATCCAAAATGAGCACTTTTCCCAATCTCCAGAACTGCAAATCTCTACTCGACAAGCGTTTCACCAACCAAGTTGGCGTCTTCAGTAGATGGAGGTAAAATTCATATTCTATTGCGGTTCTGGTGTTTGGGAAAAGTTTCTCACAACACACCTTCATATTCCTCAGATTTCGTAAATTCATCCATCAACAAATTGTGATGGAATTTGCTGCTTGAAAAATAGTACGAACTTTTTGGAGACAAAGGGCTCACATTTTTTTGGAAATGTGCGAGATATCAGTATTAATGAAATAAGTAAAAAAAGTTTTATGTCAAACGGTTTTAATATACCAAGACCTAAAAAATAATACGGAAGGTTCTAGGTAGCAGTCATCACACCACTCTCCTCGTCAATCTACAATATTGATCAGATAAAAAATTGTAAAATCGTTGGGCGTAGCGTAATCTAAATGAATATGTGAATACTACGTCCAACGATTTTTTCATTTTTTTATCTGATTAATACTATAGATTGCTGAGGAGAGTGGTGTCATGACTGCTACTTAGGACTTTCCGAATTCCTTTTTAGTGTTTAGTTCATTGAACACGTTTAACATAATTTATTTTTGTATTTTATCTTCAAGTTTTTAGTTTTTAATTTTGTTACTCAACTTTTCTCATTCAGTTCAGGCATTTAGTGCCTCAGTATTACAAGGTAATATGTAATCCACCATTTTGTAGCTGCGGCTATCTTGAATTTGTATCTTTTTCGAAGTGTACTACTATTCTACTAGTCAGATCCTGTCATTTGATACCCATATTGGGGTAGTTGTGAAAAAATATTAAATCCGCCATTTTGTAGCTGCGGCAATCTTGAATTCGAAGAAAATAATTCAAGTCTGATTTCTATTAAGTTCATGATTTGTTGCGACCACATTCGATCTATTAGAACATTTTTAATTAACAAATGATCAGTTACTTGAAAATGGTCAATTAGACGGAAACTGGTCATAACAAATAAATCAGACGAAAGTTATTTTCTTTATTCCACATTCAATATGGATTTCTACACAATGAATAGGCCATCAATCGAACAAGTTATTCTACTAGTCAAGCCCTGTCATTTGATATCCATATTAAGGTAGTCGAGAAAAAATATGTGATCCGCCATTTTGAAGCTGCGGATATCTTGAATCATCTTTTTTGAAAAATAGTACTACTCTACTAGTCAAGCCCTGTCATTTGATACCCATATTGAGGTAGTTGCGAAAAAATATGTGATCCGCCATTTTGAAGCTGCGGATATCTTGAATTTGCATCTTTTTTGAAAAATAGTACTACTCTACTAGTCAAGCCCTGTCATTTGATACCCATATTGAGGTAGTTGCGAAAAAATATGTAATCCGCCATTATTCAGCTGGAGCCATCTTGAATTTGCATCTTTTTCAAAGTTCACCACTATTTTACCATTTTGTAGCTGCGGTCATCTTGGATTTATAATGATACAGAATTCATTAAATTATATTGTCATCAAAACCAAATTTGTGTATCAAATATCAGATCAATCTGTCAACAGAAAGGGGATCAAACTACGATAACTGAATTTGGCCCAAACAAATAAACAAATGAACGGGGCAAGCTAAATGAAAATGTTCAAGAAAAAAGACGTTCAAAAAGCAGACTTTTTTCTGGAAATGTCTTCCTCTACAAGAATCTTTATTACGAATCATCTATTGACAGTAGTATTTGAGTAATCCACACATGAACCAGAATATGACCTAAACCGGGGGAATGTAATATTTCACAAGATTACAATAACTAAATGAGCACTTTTGTGAAACCAAACTCCAATCAGCACCCATGTGAAATAGTACATAGATCTGCAACCAGCACCTGTGTAAAAGCCTCACCAGAAGTGGAATAGAAATCATATTTTATAATGTTATATTATAACTAGAGTAAACTAACTAAAAAAAACAAACTAACTAAATTGTAGGCTATTTATATGGAATGAGAAATAATATTTAATAATATGAACTTATTAAAATGGAAAATGGAAAAATAATAACTGTAATAACCAAATCAAATCAACAAAATTGCAGGCTATTCATATAGAAATGAAAATGATGTTTTATGATATGGTGATATAATTATGGAAAGTAAAAAATTGATAACTGAAACAACTAACTCGAACCCACCATATTGTAGGCTCTTTATCTGGAAATAGAAATGATATTTTATGATATGATGATATAACTAGAACAAACTAACCAAGCTAAGAGGGATTGGTGTTAAGGCTTTTAAACTTAATAAATAAATTACCCTTCCATTACCACATGTGAGGGATAATTACATCAGTGAATTTCTGGCAAAAACATAACAATGTGCACTGAAAGCAGACAAGCCCTATTAGCCTTGAACAGACAACGTGTTATCTCAGGGCGAGTACTAGAGTGCCACCAAGATTTAGCCAAAGCCTCGGCAGATAATAACATTATCCTGAGGTGGATTGAAGGATACGACAAGAGTAAAGGTACCTAATCGCATTGTCGACTCTTTAGCCAAGGAGGCGGCTGGACTAAGAATTTTAGGACATCGACAATTGCGGAACTAGCCAAACGTCACACCCATGCTCTATCCCTAAAGAGATGGGAAGAAATCAAAGGATGCAATCTTGCCAGGATCACCCTTGGCGACCCTAGGAAGCTGGCGTCGAAGAAATATCTGGCGATGACCAGAAAAAATCTACGCTTAACAGTAGGATTTCTGACTGGCCACTGTCAACTAAGGAAACACCTCCATAATATGGGGCTAGTGGACGAACCTCTATGCAGGATGTGTGAACAGGAAGATGAAACTGTCAGGCACGTCCTATGTCCGGAGTTATCGTCAATAAGAGAGTGTGTGTTCGGCGAGTCTTGGCCTACATCTGCCGATATAAAGAAGATGTCTCCCAGAGATGTCCATCTTCCTGGAAAGGACAGGATGGACGATGACCTAGAAGAACAACTCCTCGGGAGGATGTACGATGGGTCACATGTAGTCTAAGTGCTGTGGGCCTATACTCACCCTCCCTACTCTACAGATACATCAGTGATAAAAAACCAGTTATTTGAAATATTTATTAATTTTTGATTTCTGCAAAAATTTCTGTACAGGTATGAAACCTTCCCACATTTTTCCGGATATCCTTACGAATACAGTGAGCTCTCACATACATTTTTGTTGAAAAAAGCCAACACACTAATACATTTTTCTACTTTTCAACCGCTCTATGGAGTGTGGACCATAGAACATTGGAACCGAACCGATATTCAAATATCTGGATCGCACAGAGAATGATATGATATGAATTAAGTCGCTACCGCACCTGGCAATCGGCTGATTAAATGTTTTATCGCGTATCAGTTGAATAATTCTTTTTTGTCTGCCATGTAGTAAGAGTCACACTCAAAGTTTAAAAATTCAGTGAATGAGAAAGCTGATAGTTGAAGTATTGGTATTATTCTTGGTTGCAGTTGTATTACTGTAATTATTCAGTGTTCCGTGCTACCTTAGCGTCACCTTATTCGAATCTAACGTCAATGAATCCCGACTGACATTTTTTCCATACTCAGCAGAATGACATATCTCTTTTAATTTTAATCATTATTCTACTTTTATGTTCTAGTCAGTAAGGTGGTCTGGTGTAAGCGTATATTGTTTTATATTTTTTCTCAATGGCTGAGGAAAATTCCATGTTAAACTTGTCACAATTGATTTTCCCTTGAATCTCGACCCATCACCCTATAAGCAGTAAACACAATGTGTAACCTTTACTATATTAAGCTTTATCGATCTTGGAATCTAGTGTAAATAAAACGGAATGCCAGCCGGGTTATATTGAAGTACTAACTAATATATTAACTTCTAATTCGAATGAAACAACAAATGTACACAAACTCAATTACGCAATTATATTTGCCATCGATTTTTTCTAAAAATAGTGGCAACATAATCCATCATTTTTGTCCAATCGCTCATTGATGCAGTTCCTTTCGCTTTCAGATTGATCAGATTCTCGAGATAAGCATTAGTGTCTAGAGCGAGGACTCTCCCTCACTCAGCAATAATGATTGCATCAATAACCTGACTTGTTTACATTTTTCAATTGTTTTCGGGAATACAGAGTAAATCTCGGTAGGTGGCTTTGGAACTGATAATGGTCAGAATTAACCAATAAAAAATAAGCTTCGAAGGTGATCCGTGCAGAGTATGATAATGGCTCACCTCGCCTGCTATTAATTATTGTATCTGTGACTCTTGCGAGGTGCTAAACTGATGTTTGATATTTTATTTGAAATATCATTTGTTGAACTGGAATTATCGCTTTTCTTGAGGCAATATGGGTTAGTGTTCTGAGATAACGGGTGTTTCGTTTGGTGGACTAAAAGTTGTGCTTTTTGGTTCCAGGGTTGGACTTCATTGAAGGACAAGGAGAGGATTTTGAGAGAGCTTTAGATCAAACTGGTGAGTTTTTCAATTTTTACTATATATTTTTTGAATATGAATCTCTAAAGCAAAAATGGTATTTAACATAAACTGAGATGAAGCAATCATTTCATCAAAAGATGGAAGAGGTGTACCTGGCTCATTATAACGAATTTCATATGTAAATTTTCAATTGTTTTTTTTATTGTAAACAACAAAATTATGCAACAATACATAGTACTTTCATTGTTTCATTCGAAGTATGGGTTCCACTTTTTATATAGGGAAAAGTTGAGTAATTTCGATCAGTGAAATATTTGAAACAAAATTCATGATATTTTTTCCCAACGCACAAAAACGTTGGAAAATTTGAATGCACTAGACCTATTCAACCGATTGGAATGAACATGAGTCGGTACCCATGATAGGCGCTGTTAACATCAATATTCACGGGTATCTAATTATAAATATCAGGAAATACATTATCAATTTTGAGATACTTCACATGACTTTTCGAATTTGTAATTATCGTTTATATTATCGTTTGTTTCTCTGAAAATATTCTCAACATATATCCCTGGTAGACTTAAAGCTCAAGAGATTAAATTACGGGCAATCCCACAATTTTGAAAATTTGCTTCAAGCAAACGCTTTCGTGTTCAATAATTTCGACCTAGGATCTCAGGGATTGATTGAATTATTATACACACAAGATATTTGCTTAGCAACATTTTGAAAATCATGGATTCACACACATTGTTGACTCATTGAAATAGATGCACTCGGTATATAATCCTCGATTATTTTCCACGTGTTAATTATATTAATAATCCTCATATGGAAATCTTAGTAAGAGTATATTTCTGTTTATTCACTTTTCACTTTTGTAATCAGTTTTGGGTCGAAAGTATATGATAATTACTTGTCAATTTAACAATTAACGATATCGGTGATGAATGTCACGCTCATTTTTTGAAATTGTTGAAATTTCTCTTTATAATTACTATTTCAATAGAGTTTTGAAATATTTTCCATTACAAGTTTTCAAAATTCCATGATTTCAAATACACCGTATTCCATGATTTTTCCCGATAATTCCTATAACAGAATTTGAAGATCAGACAAGGGAAGATATTTCATGAATCAATTTCTTTTCGAGTACATTCCGAATTACTATTTGAAATTTCACTGCACTATGTAGCTTCTGCGATAAGACATTACCTTATTTTTTCACCGCGAGAACCGTAAGTTTTGAAATATTTTCCATTACAAGTTTTCAAAATTCCATGATTTCAAATACACCGTATTCCATGATTTTTCCCGATAATTCCTATAACAGAATTCATGATTTTTCCCGATAGTTCCTATAACTGAATTTGAAGATCAGACAGTACATATCGAATTACTATTTGAAATTTCACTGCATTATGTAGCTTCTGCGATAAGACATTACCTTATTTTTTCACCGCGAGAACCGTACTGGTAGTCAAACAAGGGGTATTAGTGGTGGTGAGAGGATGGATGATATATACTCAAAATATATATTTTGATATTGAAATTTCCCGAAATTTTTCAAAATAAGAGTACTTTACTCTTGTCCTAAAATCAAATATTTGAAGGCTCCTCGTATATTACGTGTGTTTTACTGTATTTCATTGGTGGATGTTTGGTTTTATGAAATGCACAAACTTTTATCAGGAATAACATTTTGTCGAAAAACCCTTAATAAATAAGTTTCCCATATGGTGCATACTTTGGGGATGACACCGTATATAGGAATATTGAAATGAGTTCAACGAATAATGTTTCATGCTGCTGATAGAATTTGAGCTAGCTGAATGTTTCACTAGATATTAATGTAATCGTAAATAAACCATACCAGAACTCCATTCTGCGGTTTAGAATTTTGAAAACAATAACGAATAAAAGGTACTAATTCATTTCAACATTGTAATAGTAAATGCTGAAATATCAGAAAATTTTCATTCATCTCTGAAATTTAATAAATACTTATGCTTTGAGTGTTCTACGACGAAATTATATTCTAATAAAAATTCAGTCGACTTTACTTCACTCAGTAGCTGGAGCTCTCTAGCGTTTGATAGTTTTGAATTACTTTTATCTTTTGATAGTGTTTTAAGATATAGAAGAAAACATTTTGTGGATTATTGACATTAAGTAATGATCAAAAACATATTGTTATCGCTTTTGATTGAATTGGAGAAATTCTCCACGGGTTTTATTATTATTCAAGGCTTAAAGTATCAATTGTTTGCAGCAACATACAATAAACGATTTCACTTGAAATCATTCAATTAACGGAGCGCCAGTAGTTACAACCAATGTTTATTTATTTTCCAATGGAGGTCGAGATTATCATCAATTTTTGGCACGTCTTGGTCATATTTCTTCGATTTTCTTTCAGGCCAAGTTCAAGGTTTCAAAACCGAGAAGGTCACGAATGGTGTGACTGAGTTTATGACATCTGAATAAAAAGTAGTGATTTTTGTATTAAATTAAAATAGCTATTTTGAGTTTAGCTGTGATTGCATTTCATTGAGGTTTAAATTTTCTCTTCACTCTACCCTATATATTTAAAATTTTATTAAAACTTCTCTTAATTTTGTTTCAATTTCCATTTTAAATTATGGTTCATCCTTGTTTTCGAAAGACGATAGATGAGACCTAAGTTTTCGTGAGTGAAATACTATACTTTTTCAATGATTTATAATGGTAATATTTCAAAATAAGTGCTTTGGAAAGCACTAAAAAACCTCATTAGTGTCATTTAATTCGATTTTGAATAGTTGAAAATTGAAATGAAAATAAAAAAACTGTCAGAAATGTGACTTGACCGGAGATTGAACCCAAGATCTCTGTGACATAATGTTATAGAGTTTTCAATCACTTTCATTTTGTTATCAAGTTTTTCGGCCATATTACAAATTTTCCGTTTTCACTTTCCAAGCCAATGTTTCTATCTTTTTTTATTTAGAAACTATGTATTTAAAAACTATCTCTCAGTTGATTGATTAAGTTTGACATTAGAATATATTTCGAAGTAGGAAATTCTCAATTCCGATTGGAATTAATTGAATAACTGAATAACTAGATAGATTTCAGTCAATGTCAAAAAGCCTGATGAAAGCTGCTGTATAGTGAAACACAGGTTGCCGTTTTGTAAACTGTCCAGTGGAAATCTCACTGGACAGTTTACATGAGGTAATTAATTACCTCATGAATTTTTTTTAGACGTAAATAATTGATGATATCCAAATAATCATAGAAAAACATTAGTAATATAGTAATATCAATATAAATGAGTCTTTCGTTGGTACAGTTTTGCAGAGCAAAACTGCCAGAAGTGATTGTATGTGAACATGGACGAATGATTGGACAAATATAAATATACTCGTATTTCATTGTTAACATCAATAAATGTATTTCATTCGTGGTCTATACTTTGAATATTTTCAAAAAATGTGTTGAAAAACACTTCAATGTGATATATACAAATTATTTCTCATGTGCAATACTGTGCATACTGAAGATATTGTAGAGTTTATTTTGTTTTTGAAATCCCTCTTAATAAAATTCCACAATGAAGTTTTTCGATACGAGTATGGAAGTATAATAATAAAATCATTTGAATTGAAAGTGGCTTTTTTTTTGGAGATTAGCTATTGGGAATGAACCTTTTGGATTTCTGCTTCATCATCATCATATAGAAAGTGTAAAATTTCTGAAAATAGGAAAAGAGATGTAATATATCAATAAACACCCTTCACAAACATGTGAAGATTAGGCACACAAATTTCTTTCAGCTACTTTTAATCAAGAAGATTGAATTAAACCAAATTGTAATACAGAATGCTACACGAAGTAAAGTATGAAAAAGTAAATGATTTAAATATTCATATGAAAAACAGTCAATCTTCAGTACTTTACTCGGGTAAAAACACTAATTTTCAACTCTAATCAGTACTTTTTGAAATCATGAAATACGATTCGGTCATTACGTGAAAAACTTCATCAATTTTGTCAGTGGAAGATAGTGGAAAAATTCCTGAAAAAATTAAATATGTCAATGTCTCTACAGAGATGTGTAGAGCATGCAAAGAAGTATCTTTCAGATAAAATTGAAAAATATTCAGGTAAATTCTTCTAAATATGAACATTAGATTGCACAGAAATCAATTTTTCTCATTTATTTTGTATCCCAAATATTCGTAGTAAAATTAAAATACAGAAACACAGCAAAACGTAATAATGACATAGTAATGTAATATGACGTATACCGAAAAATGAATGTGAATGATTCTACCTCAATGGATAAATTAGAATGAATATTATTATTTTGAAAACATTGATTCATACGTGAACTTCTAACTTTTTCAATTCATTATTATTCAATAAACGCACTTCTGAACTCAATTTAGTTTCCTAACCGTGAAATCTTTTCTTTTCGTGTATTTTATACACGAATAGGTAGACCATCGTTTGATAATAGGTAGACCATCGTTTGATTTTTCTATATGCAATTGCGGAAGTCATCGTTCGTAATACCAAGATGTTTGCAATATGCAGCCGATTTATAGTTGTTGTTACTGAAAATGATTAATTTTTGAGTTTTCCGATCATTTAGTTGTAATAAATTGACGGAAAGCCAAGTTCTCACATTATCAATAGATTCATTTATAATAATAATAATCGTCTTTATTATTTACACATTCAAAAGAAAACATTAAATATTAGAAATCGAGGTTCATATATGAAAATAAAGGGCGAAGTTTATTTTCNTTTACACATTCAAAAGAAAACATTAAATATTAGAAATCGAGGTTCATATATGAAAATAAAGGGCGAAGTTTATTTTCTGTTGTGTAAACACAACATGAGAAATTTTTCCTCATGAGAAAATTTTTTGAAACTGACAAACTATTTCATTTCAGGTTTTGGAAAGTTTCATTTCGCTCTTTTGGCAGTATGCGGCCTCATCTATTTGAATACTGCGGTGGGAATAACGATAATCTCGTTTGTTCTTCCTTCTGCGACATGCGATTTTCAGATGTCTTCTTCGGACAAGGGGTGGCTTACTGCTGCCCCTATGCTTGGTAAGTACTTATTCAATATTATTTCAGATTTTTGGGTAA